TATATATTTTTTTAAGGTCAGGTATGACTCAAACTTCATATTTATTAAATTTTACATAACATATCCTTTGGAAGTGAAGCGTAGCTCCTAGGAGAGTGTTCTCTTCACACAGGTGTTTAATTCTAATGCTGGAAATTTTTTTCATTTTATATAAGGACCTGTTTGGTTGCTCAAAAGTTGGGTTTGGAGTGTTGTTGTTTGGGTAAATCCTGGTATCGGGACAGTTTAGAGGGTGATAATCTTTCTTTCTCATTTTTTGTATTTTAAAAGAAAAGAAAATATTGTTAAAAAAGATGATAAAAGAAAATAAAATATATAATTAAAGAAGTGAGTTTAATTGTTTATATTGCTTAGTAATGTCAATTTATTAATATGATATTTGTTTTTTTAGATTGATTGAAACTTATTCCATTTTGATTATCTCTTTATTTCTCTAGTTATTATAAGATAATTATAATATTTATCAACTAAAATGCCCTCCAAACTAAAAACAATTACAACCCTTTCACAAGAAATATCATTACTGTGTCTCCATTTACAACCCTCTTATAAAACCATGTCATCCAAAATGTCCTCAAATCTTAAAAAAACTCTCTCACAAAGAAATGCCACTTCTGTGTCTCCTTTAATATTTTTTAGATTGCTACCAAACCAACCAAGAAATCAAGCCACTATTAATTCCTCTCTTACATTCCTTTTTAAGGGTGAACGAGCAGAGAGAAAGGTGAGAGAAACGGACAAGGAGAGCAGATAGACAAAGGAAGGAACATTGGTCAAATTTATTTTAGAAAGAGAAAAGAAGAGATAGAAAGAGATAGAAAGCGTGAATGTTGGCCTTACCAACTTTAGAGGCTTATACTACTTTATGGTATCACATAAATTTATGGAGTTAAAATATAATAAATTATTATTTTTTTGTACATGATATGATAAATCACTCAAAATATAATATTGAAGTTTTAATTAATTTAAAAAAAAAAACAATCAAAATTTATTTGTATTTAAAGAAAAAACTTCTCCATGCTAACATGTGATTTTTATAGTAAAAAAATAAGAAGAAAAAGGTTGTTATATAAAATAGCCTCTTACACTTATATAAAAAAAGGAATTTTAACTAGATCAAGAAAAGGTGGTTTCTAAGACAAAAGTGAGGGGTAAAAAAGGAACTCTGGTGGTAGAGTTGGAAAGATATGCTAGGTGAAAGATTTAAATGACTAAAAAGGACATCAATTAAGAAAGAAAGTGAGGGACATATGAGGAATTCAACTTTAATGAGTTGTTAAAAGACAAAAAAGGAGTTCACAACCTTCTGATGTTGAAGTGCCTTATTGCGAGACCAAAAAGGGGTAAAAAAAGGTAATGAACCTTAGAGTATTGAAAACTTGTGAGTAGAGATGGTGATTTCCTCCATGACTTGTGGGGCTTTGTGGGGATCCTATTGTGGAAATAGAAATTCTCAAAATATTTCTCCTTGCAAGGAGGGGATGGAGGCAATTTTTTCTTTATAAAATTTCACAAGGAATTTCTCCCTCCTCATAAATTCCTGTAAAGAGTCATAAATTAATAAAAAATTATAAATTATACTTTTGTAAATTATAATAAATTCAAATATCTCAATTCTTAAACTCACAAATCCTAATCATAAACAATTTGATTCTTACATATCTCCTTTTTACTACCTTAGTTCCTCCCAGCCTCACCTCTTTGTTTAACTAGTTTCTCTTAATTTGCATTTAGTTTACTTTATTTATTTATTTTTGATAGGCAAAGCTTATTTCATTTTACTTAATTTGATTCATTTTCCAAAGAAAAAAAAACTTAGAAATAATTAGTCTTTCTAAAATGCTTTTGGAACTTTTTTTTCAAGAGTAAGAATTGAATGAATCATAGTATTTTTGTATATAGCCAAACAAAAGAATTTATTTTTCCATACTTTCACAAAGATTTCCTATACCCGTGGAGATCCCTCATTCCTTGTGGGGATAGGGATGGAAGACATTTTTTGCCCTCCATCAAAAACCCACTTGCAGATCCCTGTATTTGCTAGTAGTGAAGACAAGGATTGGGAAAGGGTCCTAGCCCTCACTGGGACTCATTGCCTTCCCTATTTGTGAGAGCCAAATAAGAAAGAGATAGAAAGAAAAAGTGAGTGATGAGAGAGGCAAGAAAGGACCAAATAAGAAAGAAATAAAGAGAAAAGTGAGTGACAAGAAAGATAGGAAGGAGGAATAACTCAAGTTTTTTATTTTTAGAAGTTTATATTCTTTTATTTTTCTAAAATTGAGTTTGACTTAGCAGTACTTTTGTAAATACTTAAATCTTAAAGGGCATTTTAGTTGGTAAACTTTTGAGTTAATGGGTAGCAATTGGTATAATTTTTGTAAAATTTTTTCTATTTTGTATTTATAAAAACAAAATTTTATCTTTTATGTAATGTCATTTATTGTAATTATTATAGAATTTAAATCTTCTTTATTAAATAGAAAGTTTGTTTTGTCCTTTTTATAATGACATTTCATATAATTAGCTTTCTAAAAAAGTTTTTGTGGTCTGACAGGAAGAAAAGATAAATCAATTTTATGTATGAAAGATTCAATTGTCATTAATGAATGTGGAATGAATAATTCAGCCCTTTTAGACTAGGAGTGAATTTATTTTATTTATTTATTTATTTATTTTTTGCGAATAGATTGTGAAA